ACTTCCTAACTTGGCTGATGAAAAGGAATTTACAGTCTAAAAATTATCTAACTTCAATTTCTTGAGTTTCAAGCCCTTTTAAAATGACTCGTTTCTGAGTACTTATCAATTAAACATTATTGCTGGTACCCGTTTGTTTACTGTTTAGATACATTAGCTGTTGGTGATGTGATCAGTATCCCACAGTCCCTGTTTAGTGTGATGGTACAGTAGAGTTGATATGAAATTACTTTGCATTATATTTCTTGAAAATGTTTGGCATTGTAGACTGTGAAGTGAAAAAATTGCAGCGCTTGCTGCAGTGTGTTTGAGGTTGTAGAAGCGCTGTGCTTGCTACTGCACTTATGCATTTTAGGTGACAAAAGCGCTTGATGCAGCACTTGCTGCAGCGCTTGCTGCATTTCATATGATGATCTGTCAAAAGCGCTGCGCTTACTCCATTTCATGATCATGTGGCAGGCGCGCCGCGCTCTGCACAACTCCAGACCCGCACAGTAGGTCCTGTCAACAACACTCATTGTAAACACCATACTGACCACTCTCTTGCTGCCAACTTGTTGACTCGTTGACGTGTGCCTATCTTTAGCGCCTATACTTTGTCCTATCTGACCTGTACAAAGCACACTAGTGTTAGCGAGTGTAGGGGGAGATTGTCATCTGAAGTCTGATATTCCGGATATGACCATATTTGGGCAATACATGACGCGGCATATGACCTTATATGGTTAAGTTATCACGGCGCTGTACACTACGTCTGATGTACAGGTGTTATATTACGTACTGATAAGGAAGATATTGTACCCCATATACTTCTGATATGTGTTACTAGAAGTAGAAGCCTTACTGAGCAAACTGTGATTGTAGTGCTTCTCTACCTCATCATTCAAGAAAACCAGATAGTATAGCAGTATAGTAGCTCTGTACTGAAGCTTCTTATCTCAGCACATGGTTGAATTAGACCTCATCGTATCTCTTTACCCAATTGTTTAAACAAAGTGGAACCCTCGGCCTCCCTTATCTTAAGGTTAAACAGATTTATGAGTTAAAGTATGAATGATGAGGCAAATTTAAACGTTTTTGATAATTCGATGAAGATTATAATATATGCATATGTACTTTCTTGATCTTGTGACACTACGTTAAAATTCATGAAATGTATTTTAAGTGAAGAGATTGCGCCACATTTAAAACTTGGTTACTTGATAACAGATAAAAATAAGTGAGCAGAAGTACAATTCCTTGAAGTGATAAGATTTTATCAAGTAGCCGCTTAATCATTGATATTCGATAATTCTAGGAATTTGCTTTTTAAGAACTGGAAAATCTCTCCTGCATCTTTTCTTACCATAATTATAAATGTATCGGTATTTTCGCCTGCTTAGTTAAAATGTCTTGAACGTCGGCGAATTTTACACCACGACAAATATGTCGATGATTCCAAATTCCAAAAAGACTTTGCTCTGTAGAAGAAAATGTTGGCATGTAGGAATAAAGTCAATAAACAAAGCTAACAACTTTAAATCTCAACTCTTTTAACAGGTTTTATAAGCATTTTATCTAGATTTATATATCTGAATTTTACTACAATTGTATTTAACGTTTTCTGCTGTGATCTTTGCCATGAAAGTATGCTATGGCAATGAAGAATGTTTGAAAAATTTAAAGAATTTTAAGTACCCTTTTAACGTACCCTTTTAACGTACCCTTTTAACGTACCCTTTTAACGTACCCTTTTAACGTACCCTTTTAACATGAAATGTTGATTGGAAGCTCCGAATATGGTATATGTAAAATAATACCATAGGTAAAATAATTTATGCAATATGTTTTCTTCTATTTTAAAGCATTTAAATACAAATCGAATGTAATTAAAGGGGGAGGGGGGGGGGGCAACCCTCTAATTAGCAAATACAGATACATTTCAGATCAGTATATGATTACTCCCCCCCCCCCCCCCCCCCCCCCCATTTAAGGCATGATCTATACGTCTAACAATTTAAATCGCATCTTAAAATATCGTATCGTGATCACACGTTTTGGCTTTCTTTCCGTAACATTCTGATCATTTCTTATTTTTGAATGCCTCAAAATCCAAACAAAGGAACTGCATTGCGCATAATTATAATAATATTCAATCAACTATTTTGACACTAATATAGTTACGATAATCTGCCCACGTATTTCCATGCCATCTACATTCTACAGTGTAATCTATAAGTTTTGCATTCTGAGCCCCTCCCCAGTCCCCCTCCTTAGCTAGAGCCAGTCCTTACTGTATACAGTTTACGTATAAAAAAGATCATTAGTTTTGAGTGTTGAACTCGTATTCCGTAACTCAACATTCTTCCTTTACACTCTTTCTCCTGCTATGTTATATACAGAGGTGTTTGATCACAAAGCATAGTTCTGGTGGAAGCTCTGGTATTTGCTTCATTGATAATAGCAAATCAAATTATTAGGTTATAAGGCACAGGTTGAATGATGCTCTACAGTAATTGTAAGGTTTTTGTATTTTTGTACAAAGTAGGAAAAGTCACGCGTTATATTCTAAATTTGGCCTAAAACTCACGCGTGATATTCTAAATTTGGTTGTGTCGAAAGGTGGACAAAAGTTACGTCGCACTGTTCAATAATGGTATTGTGAGTGATATAATACTAATATAGGATGATGGATGAAGCTTGAAGACATTCCCATTTTTGTTCAAAATATGTCCGTTTTTATCGAAAATATGCGAATATTTCGAATGTATTACATTTTTAAGAGCACAACATTTAGAACAGGTATTGTTCTCTTTACGATAGTATCTGTGTTTGGTGAGGTGAACCTGACTTAATGAAACCACAGCTTTGTTTTCCTGACGTCATACTCTCCATTTCTGCAGGATTCAGCTAGTGCTGACAAACTCGTAATCAATATGAGACTTATTTTTAGAAGGCTGCATTTAATAAGAGATATTTCCATTGATCAATTGCAATGATGAAAGCCGCGCAAAAATTGGCACAATACGGTCTCTCCATATAAAAGCAGAAAACAGGATTATCTGTTAATAGGCCGATGCTGGAATGTCCCCTTTACCAACTGTGCCACTTTCTGTAATGACCTGTTACAATATCACTGTCTCCTCACAACTCATGACGACATGCCCATATACGGTTTGTCACGTGACTTATTAGCTGAGTCACGTGACTCCCTCGGTGAAATTAGCGTGGAGGACGCCTGTCCGCTAGTTGGAGTAAACACCTCGCATTCCTGTCATCGGTTAACGAGTGTTTTATCCTCCACGGACTTCGTGACTTGTAGGCCACTATTCGAGCTCTGTGTGTTGCCAACACTCACCAAGTCACAACGGTCAAAGTTAGCTGCACTCACTGGGTCAATGTCAAGCTGGATTTTGGACTCTATGGCTTGCTCTCAGCTCAGCAGACCATCTTTAAGTTTCACCGGCACAGCGTGCGGTGCGCGGGCTCCACTTGGGATTTATATCAAATCTCCAATATTCCCTTAGTACCACGCTACAGATTTTTGTCGGCCAGCGTTAAATTTGATTTTATACGTGGCGTGATGCGATTCTACGACCGGTCCGAGCACTATCATGCTGGCACCAGAAACTCACTTCTAAATTTTAAAACTTCAGCTCGAGCATGAATTATTTTATCTCGTCTTATTTGCATGTGCACTTTATGATACAACATCTAAGAACTCAGTTACATTTTATAGTAAAAAATAACGTAATTATAAATCAGCGCAATTTTGGAGTTTCTTGTAAGCTAAATTGATTTTATTATAACCTAGATTAAGGAGCCATACATCTGATATTTTAAAGAGTTTCTGGCAAAGTAGCTATAATTATACCTATGACGAACAATAAGTTTACAGTATTACTATTTATAGCGGGCACCTCCCCAATAGAATCTCACAATGCTCCCTGATTACTAGGTTACTAGTCCTATTATTATTATTATACTACTAATACTACTACAAGCTATAATAATAGACTAGGATTATGGGGCCACATTATAACACACTTGGTATAATATTGATGATAACAATACAATATAACACGGGGCCTCACTAACAATCACCCGGCCCCTTCCTTCTGCCGGCTGCGCTGCTACCCTGATGAAACCTCGTTGCGCCTCCGGTCTTTTAATTGTACACATAGTGAGTCTAGACGTGATCAGGAGGAGCTCTCATCTGACTGTTTTTACCTTATATGGTGTGTCACGTGGGGTGAGAGCATTACCTTATATGGAGTGCCACAAGTCTCACCGAGATTAGACCTGACATATACAAAGTACTGTGCCTCCATTCGTTATGAACTGTCACGTGTCCACTCACGTGGCTACAAATAATAGCAATATTATGCAGTGGAGATTACGTTTGCTACTAATTGTGTCACATAATTTCTGGTCCTTGATAGCGAACTTTATTTGGCTCTCGAGGTCTCGGGAGTTTTTGGCTTCAGGGCGTTCTTGTAATTTTCTATCGCACTGAATCCAAGTGTCGTTTCTCTCTCGTGTCCTGACATTCTTGTTATAACAAGTGGACTACTATATAGTGGGGTAAATACTAGTCTTGTTGTAAAACCCAGTACGCTAGGATTGTCCTCTCGCCTGTCAGTAAGAAATTAGGGTTTCGACTTCGCACATTTCAACAGGTTGTCATCACGTGATACCAGCCGACCAATGACGGCCAAGCAATTGTCACGTGTTTAGTCCGACCAGTGAGAAGTGTCCGTGGGACACGCTGTGACCAATCAGAGCTATTATTCCTAAAAGAAGGGTAGTTTAACCAACGCTGACTGATCCAATCAGCTCCCTCTCCTCAGCACACACATGATAGCCAATCCAATATGCCCAACAAGCTCCTCCACCAATCACAGCAAAGCAAACTTTGCACGTGACATTTCCCCGGCCAATAACATGCGCTGAGTTTCGTCACGTGAGGACGAATTTCGTTGATTAACATAACTAATGAGAGATCAGGCCTTATTTGGCGCATATTTCGCGAGTGAGCGCTGTGTCTTGTTGTTGTAGTGCGCTTTAACTAACAGTAACTACACGTTTAGATTTTAGTAGCAGTTGTAGTACTTGCTCTTTTCAAAATTTCCGCCTTCAGATAGCTTAGCTCGTCCTATATTTTGTAGTATTCAGACCAGTCTCCTCTTACAAAGCAGACCAGATCAGATCTTCTCAGTAACCTGGATCAGATCGTATCATCACAGTTTCCTGGATCAGCTCATCTCAATCAGATAATATCAGATAAAATGTATCTCGTAACTCTATACACCGGCTCAGTCCCCACTCAACTCTGTCTCACGGTGAGTGAAAAAACCCTATCTGTTTTCATGGTTACCACTCTGTTTCCATGATTACCACTACCTGTTTCCATGGTTGTACCACTCGCGATTTGTTTCGTCGATTACGGCTCTGTTTCTATGAATACCACTACCTGTTGCCATAGTGTCACAGCCTGTTTCCAAGGCTATCACCATTTGTTTTATTTGTTACCACTAGTTAACTCCACTTGTACTATGTTTCCACGATTGCCGTTCTGTCTCTATGAATTGCAGGCCATAATCCCCACTCTCTACATCTTCATATTAAGTATTTACCACTACCTGTTTCATAATTATCATTATCTGTTTTAGTAGTTACCACTATCTGTTTTCATAGTTTCCCGTAATCGTTTTCATAGTTACCACTATATGGTTTCATACTTTCATAGTTGCCACTGTCTGTTTTCATAGTTGCCACTATCTGTTTTCATAGTTACCACTATCTGTTTCCATAGTTACCATGGCCTGCCTCCGTAACTCTCACTATCTGTGTTCATATTTACCATTAATTCATCTTTCATTTATCATTCACTGAGTTTAGTTTCCATGGATTACACCAGCCAGCACTGAATTTCATGTATTAAAAAAGAGCTGAGATGTGAGCGCAGAATGAACACAGCATTGTTCACCGGCCCACTATCCCAGCTGTTCATGTGTATTTGGTTCATAGCCCAGTTTTTAATGCATGTTCAATGTCTGCTGAGATAGCAGCTTCCCCGACAGTTATCATGGCTAGACGCATTATGCGCAGCCCGGTCGCTTGTAAGCTATTTGTTCCTGTACTCAACCGTTTTCAATTAAAATGCTACCGTTCATGTCCACCATTTGTACGGTGTTTCAATCTAAAGGAGAGTTCATTTAATATCATAGCGGCTTTAAGATATGGTACATGTATTCATTGAGGAGTGTTATGACCTTACTTGGAGTGGCACGTGACAATAAACTTATCCAGGGACAAGTGCGCAATCTTTATATTGGCTCTAATATTTTCTATTGTGGTGACCATGTCAGTCGGTGACAAGTCACTGCAAATAAAACAATAAAATATCTGAATTTAATAATGTTATGGTGCCTTATTAAACATGTTGATAATGTTTATCAATACGAGATGTTGAGATATTCATATTGCTTATATATCTCAAACTTAAGGTGTGTTCAGTAACATTTTAATCTCAAGTTTTTTGGGTGTGAGTTAATGTTTTGTGGGTTCTTGCTGTATAATTGGACTGAAATCTGAGATGTTCTTCGAAACTGCCCAAACTTGTAATTGGCCTCTAAGTCCACAGTCTACTAATCCGTGTGGTTGGCTGGGCACTGTGTCTAGAGTAGTTGGCATTTGTTTATTACGTGATGAGAGTTAAAGGAGCACATGGTACTTCGGATCGTGTGGAGCGCTTGTAAATCACGTGATAGCTAACATCATGTTCTAATTTGCTACCAGTCATCACCTTCACAGTCTCCTGAAACACGACCTGAACTTTGTCACCACTTGTGGGTTGGCTGTAGAGTGTGGATTGCCGGTACCATCACACCATATTCCACCACTTTTAACTGGAAAATGCACTGGTCATGTAAATAATCCGATAGATTGTTCAATGTAGTGAGGATTCAGAAAATCATCTTTTTTATGCTGAACGTAATTTAATAGAGTGAGATATTTTTATTGGTTGGTTTTCTCGTTGCTTTAATAGAGTTAATATTTTGTGTTAAATGCTGATTAACTCGTTACGATCTATGTCGTTTTGTTGCTGGTCGTTGCTGACTCATTTCTTCTTTTGATATTTACATGTGGGTTATACAGCGTTAATGTTAAAAATCCTTAAGTTAAAGGACCCGTTCCCCGTCAGTCTTCACTCGAACTATCTTGGTAATTTAGTGATCGAGTGACGAGTTCTCGTAACGGTAGAATAAATCACTTATTATAACATTAAGAATAATTTATCAATATATTAGTTTCTCACCAGTAAAATCTGTCATCAGCGTAAAATTAAAACCACGCAATCGTTAATAATAACCTAGTACCTATACCATATCCGTGTATTACTCAAACTTAAACCACTCCAATAACTAAATAGCTCGAGTTATTCAACCAATTACAGATAATTACGGAGAGTGAATAATAAACCTCCCATAATATTTAAACTCGATTAAATATAGGTAATTATCTCAACTAATTGGTGGCTCTAACAACTCAGTGAGCAAGGTTAATTATACCGTATAATCAAATATGATCCTTCCAGCCAGTCACAATGGTTACTACTCTGGAGGAGTCAATTAACACAAAGACAAATTATCAATTCAATTAGCGGTGCTGTACTGATAATAGAACTTGATTTATCTAGCTTCCGTTCTCCCCTCTCTCTTAAATCAACTATACCTAGTTTCATTCATGACACGTTGGGTTTACTTACTTCCAAGTATATTCTCGTCACACTTTTATGATTTGCTTCAATCAATTGACTGGTTGAATGACTGGTATAATAATTGATTGGAGATCCTTCAATTGACTCAGTGGTGATTCCAACATCTAGACGTCATGGTTTTTTGGAAATCTTTGATTTTCGATCCGCTAAAACCGACGTCCCCTCTTCTCGTCCCCTCCTCTCGTCCCCTCCTCTCGTCTCCTCCTCTCGTCCCCTCCTCTCGTCCCCTCCTCTCGTCCCCTCCAGCCCTCCTCTCGTCCCCTCCTCTTGATTCGTCCTCCTCTGCTACATTTGCTACTTTGACACAAGTCGTTGGTACCATGTACCCGATCATAGGCACGTTATTAGTACCTGTAACATTCTCACATTGTCGCAATCCTCCCATGTTACACTTCATTTGGCCTCTTATCAGAGGAACCTTATCTTCTGAGGAACCTTATCTTCTGAGAGTGGCTACATTCCCTGCTCTCTATACTTATTCTTGTTCTCTCCTGCAGGCCGTTTTAAATTCTATGATTGTATTTTTAAATCTCTTTTTCTTGTTGTGTCGCCTATTCCCTGATATATCATATTTTAGCAACGATTCGCATTTTGCAATACTCTATTCTCTTTCCGTGACTAAATTCTAACAAATCAAAATATTCCTATTCGCCGAATTGCTACAATTAGACAAAATATTTCAATTCTGTTGAAAGAAATTTATCAATTTGGGGTTGTTGCGCAGTTGTGACGATTTGCCTCGGTCACATTAAAGTAAGAGCAAATGAGATAGCTTTTTTCTCCGCTGAGCACTTCGAAATTGCCGACGTTTCGCAACATACCTTCGTCAATTTCTAAATTTTCAGAATCTGAGAAAAATCAATTTTACGTCTTATTCTCACACCTCAATATAAAATATATATAAATTGTCAGGAATCTTCAAAATCTTCATTGCATTATGAACCGTTTTGCCACTCGCTCAGAAATAAAACCGAGAAGAACTATGAAATTTGAAATATGATCCTGCGCACGAATAATCCGCCCGATAGTTCAACCGATAAAATTTTCTTCTATATCTTGTTTCTGTTTCCCTTCAAAACTTCTCCTTCCTATATCGGAGTAGTAGGTGCGGTAATTACTGATCCTGGGACTAAATCAGAATGTTAGTGTATGGTGTAAAGAATTTGAGATATTTGTGTAATTTAATCTTCCATCCCCTACATTGTTGCATAGTGCAGCTATTCACTGCTCTCCCGGATATATGTGGCAGTGATTATGTTGCCCAACTATTTGCTTGTTATCAGATCTGATTAAAGTGCTTTATATCTTGTTTGTAGTTTATATGATTTGTCATTCTAACAAGACCGTGCTTTTATATAGTTGATGTATAACTTTTTCAATGTTTCCTCCCGCACTTCGATTACATCTGAATCTCGTTAGTCGATATCTATCATAACAATTAATTTTTGTTTTTGTTTGATATTTTTATCAATTTGAGCGGGATGTACATACTTTATTTCATTTCTTTTAACACACATTTTTCTGTACAACACTTTCATCTCATAGAAACACGCATAATATCGTACACCATCATGTCTCAACGCACGAGCGCACACAAAAGTTGTGTGTGATCCAACAACAACAGATCACTAATACTACCACAGCACTCACAGCACCATATAATATCCACAATTACAAGCCATTGTGTCCATGTTCAATACTCTGATCAGTATATGGGAGTAGTAATTGTGAGGGCGTAGTGAGGGCGTAGTCGGGCATTATATCTGTGTGTGTGCAATGTGCAGCTGCAGTGAGTTACACTGCACAGTGATCATTCATCATACGAGACAAGGTAGATATCATACCACTATATTGGTATTAATAATTATATCATCGTAATAATATTATCATTATCATTATTATTAATATCATCACCGCGGTTACCAGCCCATTGTTATTTGATATCCTTGGTGAACTATTGCCTTATCTGAACTTAGCTAACTTGATAAGAACACCTAGACTGTAATGATATAATGGTATAATATTGTTATAGCAATGTGAGCTTTATCTAAGGAATAAGCCTAACCTGTTTATTTAATAGCTCTTCTTTTATTTGCTCCAATTCTAAGAAAACAGTCTTGTGACGTTTCTTAACTTTCACACAAAATTACATAAGGATTGTTCCTTCTGCAATCATGTTAATGACGTTGGATAGAAGGCGGTATTTTTGACGATGGGAGACTTTCATAATTCCCGAATGCTCTCCAATATCCTTTCTAACTACTTCAATTTAATATGTACGTCTTCCTTACCCGTCTTCTCTAACAATGTACGAGTTCTCGCTTCCTCTATCAATATCTCAGTTGCGTTCTAAAACTGTTACTTACACTTTAACACTGCCTCCTAAAGCACTAATTTCAAACTGATGTGTCAAATTAGCATATAAACTGCACCCGGTCCAGTTCTTTGTGTTCCAATAACGTTACACAATGTGCACACTTAGTTACACTGTAACTGAAACCTCATCTCTCTCTCTCTCTCCCTCTCTCTGACATTCAGTACACTTATCCGATTTCTACC